ATTGGAAAATGTGCATTATGTGCATATTAAGAAAGGCTACAAGGTAATCAGTAAGGCTGATAATCACTACATTGTGAAGAAACTAGAATATCACTTTTTATAAAAAGACGATTCATAACTGTGCAGGGACAATACTCAGAACAGAACTATTTAAACACCCATGCAAATAAAATTTGTTTTAAAATGTTATGGACTTGTAATTATTTGCAACTCCTATTTATGTTGAAAATAACCATGGTTGAATTCAAATTATTGGACTGAAACAGGAAAGATACAAGCTGATGAAGCATCGATCACTTCAGATAGTGCCAAAACATACATGTGGGCAGACATCGGCGGACATGTGACAGGAGAGAGACTTTTGGTTTTCAAAGTTAAAACAAAACAAAACACAATTTTTTTTTATCATTTTGGATATTTATCACTAAGAACTTCTCAAAAACAAATTAAAATCAATATAAGAATCTTGCACATATCTACAGAAATGTTCAATTCAATTTCCAAACCACTGAGCGATATTTAAGATTGCTGCTTTTTTTTTTCTTTCTTAGCTATCTTTAGGGCAGAATCTTAATTGGCATTCTATTGGCTTCTCACTTTTACAAGTCCTAGTGCATTTGGAAAATGATTTTAAACCTTTGGTGTGAAGCAGTGTCTATTTTTTTTTCATTTTCCCCACATTTTAAATTTTTTCTTTCCTTTTCTGTTTTTTAATAATTCTAGCATCTTTGGTTGAAAGGAACAATACTATCTAAGGATAAAATGCTATTGTTTCTTTTCTTAAAAAAAAAGTCTAGTATGAATTGTGTGTAACAAATTTATGATGCACTTATGAATACTAAGCATTTGTATTTCCTGTAATGTCATCTTTATAAACTTTGACTCTTTGAAAACTGAGATTTAAGTTACAACCTTTGGTTTGTTGAACTCTGGCATAGAAAAAGCTCTTTACCAATGATCATTCCTGCTTTTCACAGTTGTCATTTCTAAGGCGATCATCTGCTGGTTGTTACAGTGACCACATAAACACTCCAGCGTTTCCATCGAGGGTATGCGTGGGGGTACGCAGATGGCTAGGAGAGTATTTGTGTGTGAGTGTGTGGATCTGTCCGTGGGAGAGAGAGATAGCAAATCAAAACCCTTCTGTCTGGGATCCCAAACCATTTATGCAAAAGGGTGTTTAAATTACTCTGCTGGGGCATGGCAGTAACTACACTTAGTAAAAAAATTAAAAAAAAATTCAGAAAAAACTAAAGAGTTATTGGTATCTATTGACTATTCATTTACAGCAGATTTAATTATTTACACAGTAACACACCAACTTAAGCCATAAACAGAATTAGCACATTGCCTTACCATAAAATACAAATTAGAAGTTAAAAATATTTAAGAAATCTGTTTCAGTATTTACACACGCTCAGTGAAAGTGATGGTCGCTCACATTACATATATCTGTACACTTTGCAAAATGGCATGATTGCTACAATTGACAGTATTGGCCCTAACCGACTTGGTGGGGGTGCTGTCTTTTTTTTTTTTTTTTGTCCTCCTCCTCTTAGGAGGAATTTTTAAAAATATTTTTCTGTTTTCTTAAGACAGTTTTAAAATCACCAATGGACAATGCTGTTTTTGTGAAAAAAGAGAGTAAGTGGACAAGCGATGAAAAACTAGTTAATTTCTGGTGCTCTGAGGTACAGTACTAGTATAGCGTTAGGCTGTGCAATGATCGGTAAGAACTCGCAGCATTGATTTGCTGATAGAGAAATGTTCAGTGCCCTGTATTACTGTTTCAATATGTCACCTTGTTTGTTGCCAAATTAAAAATATCCCTACACTGGTTTAATGAAGGAAATACAACATATTAGCTTATTCCTTTTGCGCCACAACATATGGACACATATATATGCATGTATGTCTACATGAATCTCTCTCTCCACACACATACACACACATACATATATATACACATGTAGATATGTTGTAAGACCTGTTTGATGATTTTTCTTCCATTTTTGTTCTGAGTATGAAGTCATCGTGAAACTGGAACACAAATATCTCTAGAAAATGGAAATTGTCTTAGTTGCCAATTTAATGCAGGTCTTGCTTAAAATAAACAAGATTCATTTCCTCATTATGCACTCCACTGAACTTTCTCTATGTGTTGTGCTTTTTTTTTTGTAAGCAGACGAATTTTTTTGTGTTCCTAAAGCTAGAATGTAAAGTCTTTTGGTTCATAAACCATTTTTTATTATTAGTTTTACTTAGCACTGCTTTTGAAGAAATGAGGAGAAGGTCTAGGTGGCACTGCTTAAGTCTTTTCCTGTTATTAAATTGCAGTCGAAAGAATGATAACATTCCTTATGCAAACACATGATTAGGTTGCAGGAGTTTTCAATTCTGGAAATGCATTTCATACCTACAGGAGTCATGTACAATATATATACAGATTGAGATCAAATGCTTCAATTAGACTGTGCATTTTTAGAATCAGAATTTGCCTATAAATTCCACAGAGATGAGAAAACACCTTAATTGCTGGCTATTTCTTGATCAAAAGAAAAGGTAACACGTATATGCAGAAATGGATTGTAAGACTATTAGAATTGTCAAAACACACATTAGTGGTCCTTATAGTTAGCAACTGGCTATCAAGCTGACTGTCTCACAGATTTCTGAGATCTAGCACCCCTCCAATGCCCTTCGCCAATCAGAAGACTACAATCCAATTCAATTAGAGTAAAAAGTAGCATCTAAGAACAAATTCTCTATCTCTTATCACTGGGCTGGGGGAGCAAGCTGCATCTACCAATATGATTACTGAGTACCAACATAAAGGTTTCACTCCAGGACATCTGAACCAAAGTTTCATCTTTGCTTCCCCCCCGCCTTTCTTCTTTATCACTGAGAGCAAAAATGAATCCCTGGTCATATGCTCCTGGAGTGCCTACTGCAAAGCTGCTTCTCTCCACTTGAATCTAAATCACCTCCTCTAGCTTACCTGTACATCAGAATTCTGCTGTAACCATAATTGACAACACCAAGGATTTTTATGGCTTTTATGTCAATTGCAAGTAAGAGCCCGCTTTTAGATGCGGGCTCTGAGTTGTCTCTAGAAAAATCTTTCCAGAATGGCATTTGGGAGTTGTGCACCTGAGTTAGTGATATGTTCCTTCCTGATATTGTCTGCTCAAGCTTTACCCCCTGGTGACAAGGGACAGGCACTTTTATTAGTGTGATGCCCCCAAATGACTGGCTGGAAGGGAGTCCCTGGAGAAACTTGATGAATCTTTACTCCGAGCCCAGAGACAGAACACTGGCTGGATTCTGCCCACACATCAGACTCAGAGGTGTTCAAGTGTATAAACAGACACATAAGGACCAGTGTTCCCTACGCTGGCAGGGCGGGCGGGGGTGGGGGGGATTTCTTCCTGGTACAAATTTGGAAAACTAATTCCTTTTTGTTGTTGTTGCTGCTGGAATAGTCGAATCACAGGACTCCTCCATATCCAAAGTTGCTGAAGAAAACAGACCCTGAATCCACAGGAGACACTGGCCTAGGCTACTCTGCATCACTAGGTATATTACTCTAAAACGTCTTGCCATTTAACCGAGAGTAAAGTCATCCTCCAAAAAAACAACCAACCAGATCAGACTCTAAGAGAAACGGAATGACTCACAGTTTTCATCAAGAAGATAAAAATAATATAAACCTCACATTGACAGAGATTAATTATAGTAGTGGATATTCTCTTTCTTGCTCATTTAAGGAGCAATAATGGACCAATTAGTATAGGAAAATAATTCAAAATCGAACTGAAACAATTACATTTCTCAGTCACAATTATCGGGCACATCATTTCCTGTAATATCAGCTGAGGCTCATAATATTCACAAGCTTTATGTGTTTTTTTTTTGTTGTTGTTGTTCTGTATTTTGTTATCCTTGTTTCCTGGATTAGGCAGGTTTTAATGGACATAACAAAAGCACACTCATAAAATAAACCCAACAAACCCCCAAACTGACTTTACTTATATACATAATCTTTGAGATGGTGTTTGCCATGAAAAAAATTTTTAAATAAATTTAATTTTGAATAAGAAAAAATATATATATACTTCACTCACTCAGTCCTTCCAAAACTGTACTTTGTTTCTAAAGTGTATTTAAACAATTTCAGAAGGAGGGAGAACTGGAAAGAACCATTAGTCCTTAAAAGAAATGAGTAAATCCTTTTAAAAATACCCCACGAAATTCAGAAATAAAATTTATAGGGAAATGTATAACTGAGTGTTTTGTCTGTGCTCTAATATATTTGAAATATATTAGAAATATTTTAGAAATATTCCACCAATATCATGTCTAAGAGATTTCTAATTTGCTAAATTCATTTTTTGTGGTTGTGTTTCATTTAAATGGACTAAAACAAAAGCAATGTATGTTTTCAAAAGTGTGTGAGGCTGGGAAAAGAATCTCTTGTTTTGCCATCGAACACTGGACATTAGGCCAGATGCTGTGGGGGACCAAGAGGGATGACATGTGTGTTTGCTTTAATTTTGTTTCAATAGTCCTTTCTGGGTTCTCCACTGGCTCTGGGCTATTCATTCTTATTTACAAATCACCTCAAAAATAACATTTTAGAAAAAAAAATCACTGGTCACCATGTGCGATAATGCTCAGATGTCTCCCCTCTCTAAGTATCGCAATGGAAGACATAGTTGATTCTCTGTTGCTCAAGCCTCCTGAGACTAGTCAAACTGGTTTCCTGTCTGGGCTCTCCTTATCAGGTCTGAAACACTCAGGAACCTTCTAGAATCCAGCTGGAATGATCTCCCAGTGGCACCATTATCATCTTAATCATCCAGCTGAGACTTATCTCCGGTCACTATGTTTACCAGGCATTGCAGAGGGTTCCATAAACACGGTGCCGTGCCATCTCAGCAGCACGCCAACCCTGGGAGTAGGGCTGGTGACGCTCTGCGTCTGAGCTCTTCTTAGTGAAAAGACTCACAATGCTATGGCTCCTTCTAAGAATTTATCTTTCAACAACCCCCTCTGTGTCGGCTCATTCATGGGTCAGAGAGTGGCATACTCTGACCCTATCTCGCCAGCGTGTCTATGAATCACTTGCATTTGAACTGGAAAACCACGGGGCCCTCAGGGTGTCCATTACTGAGCAGAAGCAACCCAAATGGCATGGAATGGACCACAGGATAGACCAGCAACTAAGGTATTTTAGCATCACTTTTGTCCTGGATTGATGTGTTCTCCAAGTCCAACATCAGGCTGTACAACTGGTTCAAGGAGGAATCGAGTCCTTGCTGCCTGCGGAAGGCTCGGATTTTAGTTCACGTAATAAAGCCAGTAGACGATGTTGAAGAAGGAGAAAACCACGGGGAAGAAAATGCGGGACCACCGATCGATGGCATTCACATCAGTCAAGTCGGGGATGGTGATTTTCAGCTGGGAGGCACGTCTCCGCAGGCGGCTTTTCTTTTGGGCCACATGTCGTTCCAGGGCATTTCGGCCAAAACTATGCCTGGGCAAGCCGGCTTTCCGGTACTGGATGTTGGAGGCATCGTAGGCCAGCATGGTGCTCCTGGGGTCGCCCAGTCCCATCACAGCCTCCGACGTGGCCATTTCGTTCTTTATCTCAAGGGTGCTCAGCAAGATGTTCTCATGGGGGTCCATCTGCAGGGGAGAGGGATCAAGTCAGACATCTCAACAGCAGACTGGTTTGTTTTTTTATTGACGTAAAGTCTACATAGAACCTTTGTTAGTTTCCGTTGATACAACATAATAATTTGACATTTTAACTGATCATCATAGTAAGTCTATTTCCCATCTGTTCTTAGAAAGATGTAAAATTCGCAGTAAAATCATTATACTGCTCGTGGAATCTATACTGAATGTGTAACTGGAAATTTGTGTCTCTTGATTCCCATCACCCACTGTGCCCATCCCCCAGCTCCCTGCCCGCTGGTCTCCAATCTGTTCTCTGCACCTATGGGACTAGAAAAGCATTAACTCGTGTGTGTGTGTGTGTGTGTGTGTGTGTGTGTGTGTGTGTGTGTGTTGAGGGGTAGGGAAACAAGGAGGGTGAGAGAGTTGCTTCTCTTTATGTTTAGCACCAATTTATTTTTTAGTTGCAACAACACTGCAGTATAACATAAGTTTCAGCTGTATGTGATTATAAATCATTAACTGTAGATAGTCCATTAACTTCACAACTAGAGATCCAGCTCTGTTTTTCACAAGACAATTGGCCCCTTTGTTCTAATTTACAACCCCCTTTTCCTTCTTCCCTCCTGGTAACCATTAACTTATTACAATCCAAATATATATATATATATATATACATATATATATATATATATAGTCTTTATTTCATCTGTTTGGTTTCTCTATATACCACATGAGTGAAATGGTATGGTGTTTGTCTTTCTCCATCTGGCTTATTGAAGTAAACAGGATATCCACTAGGTTCATCCCTGCTGCAAGTGGCAGTTTCATCTTTGTTAATAGCTGCGTAGTATTTCCCGTGAGTCTATGGAACCCTATCTTCTTTACCCACCCATCTGTCAGTGGGTGTATAGAAGGCTCTCAGCTCTTGGCTCCTGCACAGAATGCTGCAGTGAATATAGGAATGTGGCTATCTCTTAAAATGAGAGTCTTTGTATGCTTCGGCAAGCCCCCAAAGTGCAATAGCTGGGCCATAGGAATTTCTATCTTCCCCTTTCGTCATTATTGTCTTTCTTTTAGCGATCATGTTCAGCACAGCACTCTAACACGTTGTTTAGATAGTATTTATCATAGTGGTTAAGAGAACTGGCTTTGCTTCATTACATGACTGAAATCTGAATCGTGACTCTCCCATTATAAGCTAGTTGAGTTTCAGTCTCTCCATGTATTAAATGGCATGATAATTCATCATAGAGGCCTGCTGTAATGATGTGATGATATAGTAGATTGCCGCTAGCACCATTTCTGTTACTTCTCCTTAGGCATGCCAAGTGACAGAAGGCATAGTCCCCTATAGAGAATGTAGTCTTCAGTAGCCTCTGGCAAGAAGCTGGCCTGGTTTCAAGACCACACTCTCTCTGTTAACAAATACATTGCTCTGTTCAAGTCCATCCAACTTGCCAAGCCTCTCTTTTCCTCATCTGCAAAATGGGAGAACATGAACTCCCCATTAAGTGAGAAAGTGTTCAGGAAAACCTTAGCACAAAGGTTCTCAGGAAACTTTTGAAAGTTTTGCTTCTGTTTTTAAAATAAGTCATGATTCAAATGCAAGAGGAAATTGAACTGTGTTAGAATTAGGGGATTATCACTGAATTGTGCTCATAATAGCAGAATAATTACAGATTACTTAATAGAACTATAACAATCATAGGTAGTAGCTTTTAAGTTCTTACTATATGAGCCAGAAGTGTATAAATTTATTGAAGGTATGTTTTTAACCCATTATGTCACCAAAATTTTTAGAGCCAACATAAATTGTCTGAAGGAATAGTTTTGAGTCATATACATGTAGGCAACTTGTGACTGAATTCATAAGAGGACACTTGCGATGCACAGCTGGACAGTGTGGGTTTGGGAGAGTGAGCAGGATGGGAAGTGGCTTGAGAGGAAAGGGCAGAAGGCAGAATTCAAGAGGAAGAGAGAGAGCTCGCAAAGGAGGACCCGCTTAAACCCAGGCCCAGGAAGGCGACCTTGAAGAGCAAGAGTAGTCCTTTCTCTTCTTGAATGATTTCTTCTAGCAAATCAAAATGCAAAGGGTGAATGCTGACTCCAGGAGTCCTCAATGACTCAATAGTTAAGCCGTGTTTTTGTTTTGTTTGTAAAGTAGGGAAGATTTGTATGTTTTATTTAAAAGAGGTAATTGCTACAGATAATACAATCTAGTTGCCACACATCATTGTTAATGCATTTATTTTGGTGGACAATCAGGATATACCAATTTCAGTAAAGTGGTTGAAATTATATACTAAGGGTAAAATTTCCAATAACAGCTGCTAAAGATATATGGAAACAAGGAATGTAACCAAATACTCAATGAGAGATACAATGCTTGAAAGCCTCATGAATTATGCAGAAGGCAAAAAAATGTTGCTAATATTATATACTTACAATTAGCCTTTAAATGTGGTTTAATGACCCTATATTATAAATTCAAATCTAAAATCCTTTGAGAAAGAGAAGTTATAAAATATGCTCAGGCATAATAATTGACCAATTAATCTCTGTCCACTGATCAGACATCCTGTATGGCAGGCTTGGATAAGCGTTTTACTTATCAGTGGGAATTATTAAATATCCTCTTTAGCAGTTTTGTTTTGTTTTTGAGCCATACCTGGCGGTGCTCAGGGCTTATTCCTGGCTCTGTACTCAGGGATCATTCCGGGCAGTGCATGGGGGACAATGTGGGATGCTGGGGATTGAACCTGGGGTCATACGTGTGCAAGGCAAGCCTCCTACTCACTGTACTATCACTCCAGCCCCATAAGTATACTCCAGATTAATTTAAAAAGTCTATCAGATTTGGAAACTAAACCCCATACCTGGTGAAATATATCTGTCAACAAGGGAGTGACACTGGCTCCTGCCAGGGGCTCAGTGGCTCTGGGAGAGGAAGCAAGGACTCAAGTGCACCCTGAGTCCTGCTGAGCTTTGCAGCATGGGTGGCTCCCATGGAACCCTCACCGCTGGCCTTGCGACACAATTTCATTCCGAAGTGTCAGGTGAGGATCTCCATCAATTTTCTCAAAGTCCTACAGTCACCAAATGGTGGAGTTGGACCTTGATTGTTAGATGCAGACACAAGATTAGAGTGTGTGTGTGTGTGTGTGTGTGTGTGTGTGTGTGTGTGTGTGTGTGTGTCTGGGGAGGAGGGGGATCCATCATCAAAGACAGCGATGGAAATGATGAAAGCTGATGGAAGAGGGAACCCACCCCATCTCAGCCCTTGTTACTACTGCAGTTATTCTGTGACTCTAGTTCAAACACCCTCGCTTTGAGCAAAATTTCCTGGCCCTGTGCAAGGCAATGCTCAAGGGCTTCCTCCTCTCTAGGTGGTGAATATTTGCTTTCCTATTGGGCAGCTCTACTGATAACAACTAGGAAGATATATCAGCTCTATCTGAGCTTAACACAAGAAAACCGTTATAAAAAATAATGGGCACGTTATACTCTTAATAAGGAAACAGGTTTTAAAAGCAGAACAAATAATCTTTGGACAAGGCCATTTGATCTTTGTAGGTTTCCATTTTATTTGCTATAAAATTCAGGATTTGTCAGTGAATTCCTGAAGCCTTGTTTATTTTTCGCTCAGAAAAAAAAAAACCCACACACGTCCTAGGTATTCCTGTGTATATCTGGGCTGTCGTGCTGGCCCTGGGGGGATGCAGTGCCCAGCATGAAGACTGAATTTGGACACCAGGACTGGACTTCTGCCTCCCCGTTTGTTGTAGCTGACCTTGGAAAAGTGATTTCATTCTTCCGAGTTCTGGATTTCTTTAATGGTAAGATCAAGGTTTGGGGACATGACAGAGATGTATGCCCCGGAGGAGCTTGGGGGCTGATGCGAGGGTCCTACAGGGCTCCGATATTTGCCTATATGCCAGGAAAACAGAGGGACGAGCAACGAGGCAGAAGTGGCCAGGTGAGCCCTGCCGTCTCTGTGGCTGGGACGCGCCTCAAGAGCTTCCTAGAGCTGAGGTGCCAGAGATGTTCGCAGGCCCGTGGGAGGATGCAGTGTGGGGGAAGTCATCTGGATCAACTCACAAGTGCTACTCCTTGCTGTCTATCACAGCACTTAGAATACTCCAGCTCAAAATAGGGCTGCTTGTACAGTCCCAATTAAGGCTATTAATAACCTAGGACTAAACTAACCTGAATTTTAAATTGGTATCCCCTCTTCCCCCAGTCCTTACTAACAACCACAGAGCTGGAGGTGGAGAGGTATAGTCAATAACCAACTGGGTTTCCAATCTATCTCCCATTTAGCAGAGACGGCAAGGAGGCTTGAGTAGGTGGCAGAGCTATGAGGCTGCACCTCAGAGTTTAGGTGTGTGCTAGAGCTCCAGTGATCCCGTTTTGCTATTCTGGGACCGACCAGTTTTCATCCAGTTCTGTGTTCCTATAAAACCTTCCACGTATACCAACTTTTTTTTTAGTTATGTTTTTGAACCACACTGAGCAGTGCTCAGGGTTTACTTCTGGCTGTGTGCGCAGGAATCACTCCTGGGAGGGCTTAAGGGACCATTCAGGGATGATCCTAATGGGCCGCGTACAAGGCAAGCAGCTTACCTGCTGTACTCTCTCCCCAGTGCGCTTTCCCGACAGTATCTACCTCCCTTTCTTCCACTTGCTTTGGGATCAACCCCTCCCGCCCTGCCCCCGCCAGTGTTCCTGAGGTCCACATTGAGGTTTGATTGACACCGTGTGCTCTGTTTTCTGTTGAGGGTGGGTGGGAAGGGTCCATACAGTGTCCCCAAGACTGGGCAGGTTTTGATTCTGGGTTAAATTTGAGTCCTTGGTTACATTCAACCTCTCTGAGTTGAATTTTGGCGTATGTAAAGAGGAGGGGACTACATTTCCAGTCCCCTAGAGATATTTGAGAGAATTAAATAAGACAGCACCTGCAAAGCTCTGAGCTCAGCTTTGCACATAATGTTTACACTGAAAACAAA